AACAACCCAAGACCAGTCGCTATGACGTGCACTGACCACCAGGGGGCAGACAGTCAACTGGTTGACCAGTCGCTATGACGTGCACTGACCACCAGGGGCAGACAGTCAACTGGTCGACCAGTCGCTATGACGTGCACTGACCACCAGGGGGCAGACAGTCAACTGGTTGACCAGTTGCTTTGAAGTACACTGACCACCAGGGGGCAGATGCTCTGATGGGTAGGTTAGCTTGCTGCTGGGGTATGACCAATTGGGACTGAACGAGATGGGCTAGACATGCCCTGGAGCCCTCCCGCAGTCTCTCCCTGGCCCAATTGTGCACCAGTAGTGTCCCTCAGCCTGGCCTGTGCCCTCCCGTCCTCTCACCATCTAGGACCCCTTGGGGAATGTCGGAGAGCCGGTTTCAGCCAGATCCTGCAGGCCACTCCCCTTAGGAGGGCACCAGACGCAGGACTGATTGGTGTGAGCCCGCAGCAGGCACAATGGGGCCAGGATAAGTGTGAGCGGCCGGTAGAAGCTGCAGGCAGTGTTGGACTGCAGGTTTCAGCCCAATCCCTGCAGGCCATCCAGAGGGACCCCACCCGTGCATGAATTCGTGTACCGGGCCTCTAGTTAAATTATATAAACTTACAATGAAATGAATGATAGTGAAAATAAAGGTAATAAATATTCAGAACCCATCACAACCTAATTATTTCACTGCATTTTACTATTACCTATGTTCTTGAAGTTATTTATATCTATTTTATCTGTATCCTGCAAAGAGAATATGTCTGTTACTGACCATCACTTCTCACTGAATTAATGACATCATATTGGTAGCTTGAAAACTTGGTGTGTGCACTAACAGCACAGAAATTGGCAAATGTTATAAACCAATAATATTTTTTCTCTGAGTCAGTTGTTAAACATTTACTAGTATAACACTGGTCATAAACCTAACCAGATCTTCACAAAAACTGTCAGATGGCATTCTTACCCCCAATTTCCTAACAGGGGAAGAGAGACCCAGAAGTTACCTAGCTTACCCAAACAAGGCTTCTGGGTCCAACCACCATATTTCCACCATTTTACACGTATGTCACATCTATGGTAATTGAATTGCTTCTCTGCCTTTTGACTAAGATCAAGTAGTAGTACAATAATTGAGACTAATCAAGTAATGAATTTTTGAATTGTTTTTCACTTTTTCTATAAAGCATTACTCCTTAGAAAAGTAATGGCAGAAATATAGGTTAAATGAAAGGTTGCCAGGAAAAATACAGGATGCCCAATTAAATTTGAATTTCAGAAAACAAAAATTTCTATGTGAAAAGTTTCCAAATATTGCATGGGACATACTTATGTTTCAAAAATATTGGCTGTTTCACTGAAATTGAATTTTAACTGAATGTCTTGCATTTTTATTTGCTGAGTCTGGCAACCTCAAGGAAACATTATGTTTGCATATTAACAATTAGGAAGAGTTCTTGCTTTAGCACTATTAGTTAAAAAATATCTCTCTCTTTACCACTTTACTGTATTCAGCTCTCTCAACTTTTACTAGGGTCAAAATTAATAGCATAAAATTGCTTATGATCACCTAGTAACTGGGCTAGCGACTTTGAACTCCCAATGAAATTCTACCTAAAAGAGACTTCCAGTCTCCTTTCTGATTTTTTAGACACCTCTAAAAACAGTGTAAAACAAAACAGAACCATTTAAAAATACAGTTTTCTTTGTCCATTTATGTCCTTTTCATGACACAGTTTAGCAGCCATTTCCTGCTAGGTCCTAACAGCACACTCGATGCCACGAACACACTCTGGCCCCAGGTCTGTTCTTGCCAACATTTTTTTTTAAGTTTAAAAATTGAGAAGGTAAGTAAAGCTGCCCTTTAGAATCTTAGGTCTTGAGTGAACAGAGTATCTGGTTGGGATATTTCCCTAATGGAGCTCATCAATGTGCCTGGACCAGTAGGGCAATTGTTGAAGAACCCACTACAGCACCTGGCCTTGGACACCTGGCGATTGGAAGCCGGAGCGATTGCTACAAATGCTTGGATGCTCTTTATATTCAACAGGCCCCAGTGACCAATGACAAGGAGTTTCTCAGAAGGTGTGGGGCTGGGAGTTATGGGAACTGAGAAGGCAGTACTTATGCAATTCTATTTCTTCTACCTGTAGCTCTGATGCCAGAGGCCCCTGACTGAATTAGCTCATCCCAGCCTGGCACAATGCTCTCAGATCACCGACAGCAGAGATGTCCTGGTCTTCAAGGGGTTGCAAATGTAAGGCATGCAGGGACTCAAAATCATAAAAGGAACAGGAAGTTCTTGCCAGGAGGACTTTTTAACACATGCATGGATTCCCTCTGCACAAATCAAACCAGGGAATGTGTCCTATTGTTACTTTTGGAAAAGTTAAACCAACTATTCGGTAATTGACAGTAACGTCTATACCACAATCTCTACCTCAATGAACTTTACTATTTCATTCTATGACAAGGACGAAGTGGAAACATTGTGTTTGATGCTACATATTTATCTCTCTCTGTAGGGACTGAAGCATTCCTGGGAGGGAATCCAGAAATGTAGAGTCCTAGAGTAAACAACCCAACAGGTCCAGCATGTAGGCAATTTGTAGAACAATTCATATGGAAATTTGTCTACTGCTATATTCTGGAAATTAGCTTTTCAATCACAAAAACAGGCAGGAACAAAAGAATCTTTTGGTTGTTTTTAAATTTGGAAGAAGAAACTGTGATTTTAGACTCTGAGCTGAATTAAACTAGAGTGAAGGGGAGCAAGTTTTAAAGGAAGATGGCAGCCAATTTCTTTTGTTATTTAATTTTTTATTTTTTTTTCCAAGAACAGTTAACATTTACTAGGCACCTATTGGCCTCAGTCACTTGCATCTAAAGAGCAAAGCTAATTTACCCACAGCCCGTGTTCTTTTAAATGGTTAGCCTTATTTCTTAGCTCTGTTAACCACTATTCTAACATTTGCTTCAAGTTCACTTTTAATAATCTAATCCATCATTGTCTACTGCTCCCTGTGACATGAACAAAAAGAGTCTGGGGAGGAATAAGGCGAGCAGTTTACATTTTCTGTGGATACTTCAAGTAATTGGCCCCCACATGAAATTATTGAGTTGGCCATGGTTTAGCATGTTCTAAGGGCATAAAACATGGAGAGAAATGGACCTGTAGAAAGAGTTGGCATTGGAGAATGTGTGAATGTGTGAAAATCCTATAACTTCACTTCAACTGGCCTAATGTCCTGAGTCACTAGATGGTCAGAAGAATAGAGAGAGTACGAAAGGAACAAACTGATGTACATTTATATTGAAAACCAGGAACAGTTTGTACAAGATGAACAGCAAATGAAATCGCTTCTGTCAAAATAAAACCTCACACAGGTCATTTTTTTTTGTACATACATGGACATACACACACCCCACACACGCACAGACACACGAGCAAGAATGTGTATTTTGTAAGATAGGTCCTTGGAAATAGACATTCTTAGCAAATATGGATGACAGATCAATTGTAATTTATTTTCTTTTAACACTGTATCATCATAAAGAAAACTGGTATAAATGAAAAAATCTATTTCAAATATCTACATCTAAAATTTTAGGCAGTGAAAAAGCACTTTGTTGACAAGGAGTGTGGAATGATGTGTGTTAATTGTCAGAAACTGCTGAATGCCTTGCTTAGTTGCCACAAACAAGTTCACATATCAGAACGAACAATACTGCTAAATATTCCTTTTTCTCCATTTTTTTTTCTTGGTTAAAACATACCGAGAGAAAGAAAAGAAAGGAAAACTGGAAATCCATACATCTTTCAAACGTTTGAGATTGAAGCAATATTTAGAACCATAGATGAGGAAACACTGCGGCATCGGTGTAATATACACAACGCGCTTCTCTTCTTTAATCTGTAATGTACATCAAATACTTTACAACAATGCATTAACAAAAGGCAAGAAACTTCTTGCTGTACAGAGGGACCCAATGCAACCGGAAGCCTAGAATCACAACGGATGGAGAGAGGAAACAAAGCATGAGAAGCCGTCCTTCGAGAGTGTGTGACCCGTGCTGCCTGCCTCTGTGCTTATAACCTTCGCGCCCCACCGCCCCGACGGGACCGCCTCCTGTGCTGTCTCCAGCCACGTTCAATACCCTCCATACCCTACAGCTCAAACTAGAAAGGTGTCGCTCAAGGTCGTCACCTTTAGGATCGCTTTAGCTTTCTACTGACGTCCACGTTAACTTTCGATTCGTTTAGCTTTCTAAAATAGCTCTTCGTATGTCCTTACTGGTTATCACAGCCTTCCTACGGAACAGGCTTTAGCAAACTAAACTTGCAGGGGGGAAATTAAAAGAAGCAATGTCTCGTGGTATGCATGCACATGCACTGTTCCCGGAGCGCCTCGTGCCGCCCGCCTCACACCCAGGAGTCGGGGGAGGCGGGGTAGTGGCTCGTTTCATAGTTCAGTTCACTGTAGGGACGGGCAGCCGAGTAGAAGTCGACATAGTTGCCGGTGGACTTGAGTCCCAGGTGCATGGTGTACTCGCTGGCCGGAGGGCGATGGTGGACCTGGTCCTCGAAGAAGGACTCGTCGTAGTTTCGCGTGGAATTCTGAAACGGCTGGTAGGTCTCGTAATCTTTCCTGCTGGGCTCCTGTGGGACTGGCTGTGCAGAAACCTGCCCGGAAAACAAGACCCACCTGGGTTAGTTCGTTTCCCCTGGATCCAACCTCCTCCTGGATCAAGGCACTCCATGCTCCTTCAAGGTCAAGGCTGGGAACGTCAGTCACCCAGGCAGTAACCAGCATGGCACGTCCCCTAATACTGCCAACTACTGATTGCCTTTCTTTAAAAATATTGGTTACAGGGTCCACATGCTACCATTCTAGAGCTTCAGCTTGAAAAATTATCATTGTGGTGAAATATACATAACGCAAAATTGGCCATTTTAACAATTTTTAAGTGTATACTTCAGTGGTCTTAAGTACATTCACAATGTTGTGCAACCATCGCCACCTTCCATTTCTCGGACTTTCATCATCCCAAACAGGAACTCTGTCCCCATTAAGCATAACTCCCCACTCCCCACTCCCCCAACCCGTGGCAACCACCATTCTGCTTTCTGTCTCTAGGAATTTGAACATCCTAGGTGTCTCATAAAAGTGGAGTCATGTAATATTTGTCTTTGTGTCTGGCTTCTTTCACTTAGCATGATATCCTTAAAGTTCATCCATGCTGCAGCATGTGAAGAGACTTCCATTTTTTAAAGGCTAAGTGATATACCAGGTATGGAGATACCACCTTTGTTTATCCCTTCATCTGTTGATGGTTGCTTGGGTTGTTTCCATCTTTAGACTATTATCAAAATGCTGCAATGAACATGTGTACCAGAAGCTGTCGGAGTCCTTTCTTTCAAGGGTTTTTGGTACCTAGAAGTGGAATTGCTGGATCTTGTAGTGATTCTGCTTAATTTTTTGAGGAATCACCAAACTTCCACAGCTACACTATTTTCCTAGATAAGCTTGATAAATTACAGAGGTATACATGAGATGCTATAGAACACAGTAGTTGATCTGGATCCTCCCTGCATTTCTCTATTATTCCTAGGAGTTGCAATCCCAGACAGAGTCAGTACAAGATCTCATGATACTCAGGCATCTTTCTGCCAGGGCAGAGGGCTGGGATCAATACTTCTCTGCAGGAATAAGCTTCCTCATAGTAGGGCCATTCCATCACACCTGCCTAAGTGACCTGTACCACAGCTTTAAAAAGAAACACAGAGAAGCACATAATGAAAAGAAAGAATCCATTCTAAATATATTATACTCTGCAGGACCAAAATGTTTCTAACTTGGTTCAATTAAGACCTGATAGAACTCGAGAAAGCTGTGGAATTATGAAGCCTTTGGTTAGTGGGGAGGAATCTTCAGAATTGCCAGTTCAATGCTCCCCATTTGCACTCTTGTCCTCTGAGGTTACTGTCTGATTTAGGGGATCTTTAAGGTTAAAGGGATCACAGGAGACTTTGAGATACGTGAAGTCAAGAATTAGTTCCCTCTGCTTGGCACGTTCATAGGTTGATAATCAGCATTTGTATGTGAGGGGCCTAGCTACTTCCTTCCTTGCTGGGGTCCCTTTCTAAGACCATGCCCTTGAAGTAAGCAGGGTGTGGGGTGAGGGCCAGACCCACAACCAGGCCACACAGGCATGCACAAAGCTCTGCTCACGTGCAATAATCGGGGAGGAGGTCTGCTGTGAATGATAAAATACTGTTAAAGAAACAGTTTGATCATTTTCGAGCCAATTCAGTAATTTCCTATTCATTTAACTAAGGTTTAGCATGGAAACATCCTCTAGAAATTGGTCTTAGTTAATAGATAATGATTTGCAATTAGCACGTTGTGTGTAAATGAATGCTTCTAATGGCCTGCACATAATTCTTCTCTCAAGTACACAAAACTCCCCCTTCTATGTAATTGATTTATTCTAGTAATCAACCTGTTCTTCAAAGGGGTGAACTTCATCACAGCTGCCATCCAGTGCCTGCCACTTCCAGTGAGGGGTGGTTGAATGAGATTTCTGTCCACCTGTGAAAGTCCACAAGGCGTAGACGTTTGTGAATCTAAGAGTCTGGCCATGAGAGGACATTGGGAACGAATCTGCAGGATATGTTTAATCATAAATATATATGATTAAATGCTGCTAAGACCAGGTCTACCAAATGACTTGGACAAGCTCTTCTTTGAAGATCTGTGATCTTGAGCTTCTCCACTCCAATACTGTGATACTGTGCTGCTACCCAACCATAGAGCATTCAAAGGGTTAGAGTTGGGAGGGAACTAGAATTTACTGTGTTGCTTGTTGCTATTTCAGTGCGCACTATATTCAATATATAACAGAATCTTCTTTGTTTAATCTTCAAGTAGTCATAAACATGTATGTATATATATATGTGTATGTTTATGTCTTTCTATATCTAGCTCCTCCCCTCCTCCCTTCTTCTCTCTCTAGCTCTCTCTCAATTTTCCTCCATTTTTTGAGTTTGAGCTCCCATCAGGGCACCTATGAGAAGCAACTGATCAATGTTTCTCTCTCACACTGATGTTTTTCTCTCTTTCTCTCTCTCTCTCTCTCCCTCCCTCCCTCCCTCCTTCCCTCCTTTTCTTCCTTCATCTGTGTCTAACAGGCTCACATTAGAGCACCATTGGCACAGAGCAGGGAAAATGGAATAAGAAGGCAGGAGAACTATGTTGGTGTCTTTACCTCTTCCTAGACGGGTGACCAAAGGCAAACCTTACCCACCTGGAATGTCAATTTCCTCATTTCTGGGGACAACATTTTTTGTCCTTCCCACCTGGCAGCAAGACTGGGGAAACCAACTAGGAACTCAAGAGACTGTTTTGTTGTCATCAGTAATAATTTGAATCAAAACACCAAATCCCTTGGTTTCTAGTTTATGAACAAAAATTCTGTTGCTATTTGGATATAGCAGTTAAGTCTGCTAGTTTTCTTTATAAGGATGGAATGGACTGCTAAAAGCGCAGTAGAATTTTTGAAGTGTTTCAGTAGTTAACTCTTAAAATTATGTCCATAACCTGTTGACTCCAAACATAAAAACCAAGGATCACAAACCTTATTTCACATCAATAGGTATTTCTTTAGGAGCATGGAATTCCCTGAGAATGAGACTGGAGTCCTAGGTAGTCACAGGGGGAGTCTCATAGCTAATAGCAGCCTGGCTCCTTTTCCTCTGAGTCAGGAGAGAAAGGTTCAGAGTTGTTGCCCAGGCCGTGACTTCACCGGGCCATGCATTGCTGTTGCCTCATTCTCATTGTTTTTTGCTTTGTTTTAGAGATGCACCTTAAACCAGTTTCCACTAGGGCAGTGGTCGGCAAACTGTGGCCCCTTGAGTGTGGCTCTTCCACAAAATACCATGTGCGGGCGCGCACATACAGTGTGATTGAAATTTCGTGGCCACACTCAAAGGGCCAAAGAGCTGCATGTGTCTCGCGAGCCGCAGTTTGCTGACCACCGCACTAGGGAATCATTTCTTCTGTGAGATGAGTCACTGCCCAGCCACCTCTGAAGCTCATGAGGTCTAGCTGGTGCCTACGACACCCAGGAGACTAGAATGCTCAGCAGTTTGACACTGAAACTGAATGAACCCAGACTGTCTCTCCTGCTTAAATGGTTCAAGCTGGCTTTTTACCAGCTGAAAGGTTGTGAAGTCACTTTTGGTTCGGGGAACTTCCTCAAATGAAAGCAACCCATCTGGAGTGGCCAGCGATGCTCACGTGGCCAGAGAAACCACATCATGGATAATGTCTACAGGTGGTCTCTAGACCCACCCAACTGGAAGAGAACCAGGTTGTCTCCTCTTTCAAATGGTTACGATGGTCAACTTAATTTAGTTCCCAAGTGGGAACTGCAGGTACAGCCAAAGTTTATTTCCTTAGCAGTCTGAAAGAAATAAAACACTTTATTCTTTTCTCAAGTTTTTCATTGGCGTGTCGCAATGATTTCCTTGAAAAATTTTAAGGAAAAAAAAGCAACTTTCTTTGACATTTTGTTTCTTGATATTAGAATGGTGTTAACAGTCTGGTTGCCTATTTCCCTTTGCTGAACCTGCTCAGGGAATGATGATGGCACTAAACTATGGCCATGGGACTCAGCTCTGCTGGTGGCCTGCTGACAACATCTCCTCTGGGCTGACAAGTGATACAGGACTTGGTATCCATCCCTGCTGGGTTTCAGCAGCATTCACCTGAGCTGTTGTGGCTTTGACATTCACACTGAGGCTGAGTTGAGTACCTTCTGGGGCACCCTGGGGAAACGGCTACAGTAGGCTGTGCTCTCTCTTGTAGTAGAAATACCAATTTAGCACATTAATTGTAATTTGCTTAAGTGCTCAGAAGAGGCTTAGGTGAAGAACATGCCCCTAGAATCGTTATGAACTGTCCTCTAAAGGTAGATTGCAAGCAGTCCTTTGGAGCCTCCTGCAGCCACACTGAAAGATGCTAAGGATCTCTGGGCCACAGGAGGGTGTTTCTTCATTGCCAACAACAGCAGAATTCCACAAGAAAATGGCTGGTGTAGAATAAGTGGATTCTGGTGACCAGCTTCTCCTGATCTACCTAAAGTAAAAACTAACCTTCCACTCTTGGATGCAAATAAGGGTCCTATCACATCCTACACGCATCTTTCAAATCTGAGGACAGTTTGCTCACTGTACCTGATATTTGCTAAAAGAAAAAGGGTTGATTTCCATAAACAGAATTGGCATTTCCAATTATTTTGTTTCTATTTTCCTCTATGTTTGGGCAGGCATCTTGACATGTAAATAGTTGGAGGAAGCCCCTGGTGACCTCTCCTCTAGAGCTCATACCCTGACTTATTTATTCAGTTTATTCATTGGCTTTTTTTGCTTTTAGCAAAGGCTAGAACTGAGGGAGTTCGAGTCGATATTAGCCATGTGTCAGGCAGGCTGGAGGGTCCAGGCATTCACTGGGGGGCTGCAAACAACACCAGATGTTTCAGGAGTGGCTGTGCATGAACTGGAAAATTGAGGGCAAGAGGATAACACCTCTACCCACTCTCATTTCTCCTGTTGATGGTTGATTAGAGCAAAAAATAATTTCAGGTCTAGGAGATACTTTTCATGTCCTCCTTCTTCTTCCTTGGAAATGGTCCTGCAGAGGAGATTCTACCTGCTAGAAGGGGCCCCTTCCCCTTTCAGAGATGCTGCCCTGCTGGGTGTTGAGAAATGTCCACAAACAACCCATTGGCATTCCATGTTGGCTTTCATCTGGATATTGTGATCAAGGAAACAGGTTTCAGGTTTATCCTTTCAGCCCAACTTTCCTGATGCCTGAGAGGAATCCAGCGCATCAACAAGAAGCCAGTTCTCACAACAGATATTAGTATCCAACAGTTATAAGCATGCCATTCATTCTATAATGACCACAGAAAGGGGAGAAAAGTATGAAGTTGTCCATCAATGAAGGACCACAGGCTGTGCCTTGTGGCTTTTATAGTCCCCATAGAACCACGGAGAAAAGGGGCCTTGATGAATGTTTGTAGAATAAAACACATACATACATACTTAGATCAGTTCTTTAAGTACTGACCATCCCAGAGCTCCTTAAACCTGAACGGACACAAAATCACCTGGACATCTGGATGGAATGTGAGTCTGATGCAGACAAACCCTTGATTGGGGTAAGGGTCAGAGAAGAATATCCTCTGCATTTCTCACAAGCCCCCAGTGATGTTGGGTCTGCTGTTTCTTCAACTGGACTTGGAGTTGCAAGGCACATTAAAATGCATCCTATTTAGTTGTTCCTATTGAAGTTGATGTGTCTATCTCATTAGTAACTATCACTCATAATGAATGCTTTCTTCTGAATGAGAGTTGGCTGGGTTATAGGAGTTACTTAATTCCTGTCTAGTAGTTAGACAATTTGTCTAGAAACCAGCATCTTATGCTCCTATAATTGGGGCTTGCCTTATTTCTTTTAAGTTTTGCATCATAGTAGGAAACTTGCTTTCTGCCATGAAATAAAGTGTGTGGTTGTGGTGAAATCTAAGACTCTTTCCAAATGTGCGGCTGTTCTAATGACTGCCACCACCCGCATAGAGGCTGGGTGACGCCAGAGGGAAGAGCAGCAGGGGGCAGTACTTCCTTTTCATTGCTGTTCTTTGTGCCTGGGAGAAAGAAGTTAATGTATTTTTACAATTCCAGGACAGCTGACATAAGTCGAAGGGGAAAATGAATACTACAAACGTTCTGTATCTCCTTTACCTGGTTATGTTTGATGTCTTCAGTGGGCGCACCATATGAATTCCTATACAAAGTTGAAATTCCAGTATTTTGAGCTGAAAGCAAAGGGAAACAAATGTATTAGCAAAGAGAGCAAGATTTCAAATGGAGGACTAATGGTTATCGAGGCAAGTTCTTGCCCTAACATGCTTGGTTTCTTCTGAACCATTCCAAGTGGAAGAAATTCTTTGGCCTCGAACACCTCACTTTGCATACAGAAATTAAGAAAGAAGCACAGCTCTTCTATAAAATCCCCACAGCATGCCAGCCTCCTGCAGGAATGTTCAGATAGTAGACAGGGTCAGGGCAGGTGTGACAGACAGATGGTCATTTGGAAAGTTTTATGGCCTTCCTTCCTGGTGAACACGGGCGGGTAATAAAAGCTTGTCACTTGCACTGAAGCATGCCGGAATCGGTACCAGCAGCTTAGTTTTTAGCAGGAGAATGACCAGAATGAAATTTCTAATTTGAGTTCACAGAAATGCTTGGGCATCGTTCAGACTGTTCGTTTCTCAAAGGCCGGAAGGACAGGAGGAAAGCATCACCTGCAGGTGCCCTGCCTGTCTGGGTGGGGGTGGCTCTGGAATCCTGTTAGGCACATACAGGAGCCCCACTCTGTCTTGTGAGCAGCCCAAGGTCAAATTGAAAGAAAGGAAAGTCTCTTCTTGTTATTGGCAGCTTCCAAAGGCCTGGGTAGGGTGCTCATTTGCCCACTTCTTCACCTGGAACCCTTGAGGCTCCTGCCACAAGCCCAGAGGAAAGGCCCCAGGCACCGCTCCCTTCATAGCAACTATAAAGTCATGATTAAAGAAAGATTTCAAAAAGCTTTTTTTCTTTCTAGAGCGTCATTGAGTATAAAACACTCTAGAAATAAGGAAGGGCTTATCTTTTGCTTCCAGTATCTATGGGATAATGAGATAAGATGACACACCATCTTTTCTGTCATAGAGACAGGCCACTCTAGACACAAAGTCAGTGTAAGCTACTATTTCATCCCTGATTATTACTACAAGCATATAATAGCTGTGCAATAAAACTCCTCTTCTGAAATTTTACTGGAGGAGTGAGGGCTAAGAGCCTATTTTCAATGTGAAACACCACTCAGATTCTGTTTGAATACACATCACTCCGATCTCCGTATTGCTGTGATAACCACCATCCCTCGGCTGGACCATGGCTACAGAATCCTCCCTGAAGACTCAGTTTCCACTCTGCCCAAACCTGCTCCTCCATCCATCCTGTTCCCAAGCTGAGCAATCATCTTGTTAGACAAACTGGATTATGGTAAAAGCCAAGCTCCTTTTTATGGCTTATGAGGCTTTGAATGATCTGGCCTCTGCCTATCTTTCGAAATGTCCCCCTCTCTTCTTGCCTTATGTGGTGAGCCCTAGCTATGCTGGTCCAACCTGCCAAGTTTGTTTTGCTGCAGGGATGTTGTACTTGCTGATCCTCCACCATAGATGTTGCTTGCACACTCTGGACTGCCTCATCTTGTTGCTGGTTAGGTTTGGGCACAAGTGTCTCCTCCCTGACCTTGTCAGTTAAAGTAATCCTCTATCTCATTACCCTGTTTATTTTCACCATCATGCTCAACAACCGTGTGCCATTACCTTGTTGGTGAGCTTGCTCTATTGTTTACCTTGTGTATTACCTGCCTTCCCTTATGGGAGCAGGCGCTCCATGAGCTGACACCTTTGCAGGTATCCCCAGCATCTGAGACAGCGCCTGGCCTTGGTGATGCTCACAGAATGAGTGCTTTATTTGCTGAATGAATGAATGAGTGAATGAATGCGTAAACCAAAGAAAACCTGCTTTCTGAGGCATAATTTGCTGATAGAACTTATCACTCCATGAATAAGGTGAAAACATGTTTCCTATTAGAATTAAATGTAATTTTATTTGGTAGACAATGCCCTATGATAGCCTTGGCCGCCCTCCCTGTCGTGTTTGTGGCTTCTGAGCTAAAGCTGTTCTTTCCTCTTGCTCTTTGGCCCCTTCATCTATTTAGAAGAGTGTGTGTAGCTGGGATTGAACTTGAGGCCTTTGTAGACACATGAAACAGATGTTTTCGTGAATGCTTCTCCCCTGTATCTGGAGCTCAGAGTGGACTCATCGGTAAATGCCTTTCCTTTTCTTTTTAAGCCTCAATTTCTAACTGAGTCAACATAATAAAGATTAGAATGGCTGCAAAAGGCATACGAGAGACACTGACAAAAACAGGATAGACCATTTGATGTAAAGGCATTTGGGAAGCTTAGAAGGAAGGGCAAAATCCCCTGTTGAAGATTCAGGTCAGGCTGTCTAGCTGCCAGGATCGCACAGCCCTCCTGTGATGCGAGCTTCTGAACACGTAATGTTCCCAGGGATCATGACCACCAGGAAAAGCTATCAGTCCTAGAAGCCTGAATGAACAGCTGACTTTGGCCTTCTGAAGGCTCCTCAGTGGCAAAGAAACACTAAAGACAGATACATTTTAAGAGACTCCATCTAAGGTGGAAAATGAATCCAGAAAAGGTGGGTGGAGGGAAGCCTGGGATAAAATCCTAAGTGGATCTGTATTTCTAAGACCTAATAGATGAGATTATAACCCATGTGGGAAACAGTTTATTGTCTTCACTATCTGATAAGTATAGACAGAGAACCCCCCAAGGCTGGGTGCCTTTGAAGTCCTAGCAGAGGTTGGAGCTAGGCTCCACCTCTGTTTGTCCAGACAGTGGTAGCTGAAACTACTCCCCCATTTATTATTATGTAAATCCTTGCTGATGGGCTAGTCTGCCTGTTGCAGGGGGTCGCCTGCCTAAGGGCTATGCTATGGGTGCATCCCAGATCAATAAAAGCTTGGTGAGGCCTGAGCATGGGAGGAAGTCCTTCCCCTTGAGTTGGACTTGCCCACCTGGTCCCCCAATATTCCCAAATTATCTCTTGTCTTTTCATATTCATTTGTGTGCGGCTCTGCTTCCAGTTCCTGAACCCTGACCCACGCAGGATGTGGGAAGGAAACAGTCAACAACCCAGGCAAGAAATTGCTTTTACTTTTTCATTTTTCCCAGGTTGCATTTTGAGGGTGAAATTTCTCTTGGTTTACCACAACAGAGGGATTATTTCATTTGGGGGGAATGGTAGGACATCCTCTGATGCCTTAGAAACAAAGAAGGGGCAGTTTCAATGCTCTGAGCTTTACGTGTCCCTGGATTTATTGGTGAATGAGAAAAAGTACTGCTCTTGACGCAGAGGTCGCTAGACACCTGATCTGTCGATAAATGCTGGAACGATGGGCACTTGCTGAAGTGTTGCCAAGTGGAGGTTGGCAATTCATTCTTTCCGTTCCTGTATGATTTATTGTCTCTCACCTGGCTTGGCTGGGGACTTATTCATACCACTATAGAAAGTGGCAGTGCCACCACCAGTCTCAGCACACTATTATCTCTATCATCCTCATTACCAATACCCCATCTATCACCATTTCCTCCATCACAACCACCATCATCACCATCACTGCACACCACCATCATCATCATCACTACTAGTATCACCATCACCCCTTCCTCCATCACCACCACCATCACTGCACACCACCACCATCACAACTATCAATGCATTTAAGGATCACCATCACCACCACCATTACCACCATCACCACCACCATCACTGCTATCATCACTGCACACCACCATCACCATCACCATTATAACCACTACCACTACCACCATTACCACCACCACCACCATCACCATCACCACCACCACCATCACTGCACACTACCATTACCACCATTGCCATCAACATCATCACCACTACCATCAACAACTGTCTTTCACATAGTAGTTGTTGGCTTAAAGGGAACCTTCCAGTATAAACACACTATTCAATGTAGATCTCAATGTTCTTCTAGGCTTGCTACATGACTGACAGTGTAGTATTGATTTGTGTTTTTAATAAATTAGAGCAACACTGTTTAAGCCTCTATATGAGTTTGAAAATTTATACATATCTCAATCCTGGAGTTGTCAAGATCCCTGCCATTTTCTAGGAAGACTAAAGATCAGAAGCACATTAGATTTTATTTTATTTCATTATGTGTGCATGGCATGATCATGTGCCATTGGAATTATTTCAACACAAACATCCACATTTAAAAGCCTTTGAATGATTACACTGGGCAAGAAAGTTAAAGAGAAAAGTTACACTTAAATAACAATGCAGTCAATTTCACAATTTTTCTTGTAATTATAATCTCAATTTATCATCCCAGACTGCCAGTGAGGTGGCTAATCACAAAATGAATGGGTCAGGTGGATTTGGTGTCACTATTACTCTGGAGTAATCAGGACAAATTAGATTCTTTGCTGAATGTGTTGACTCTAGGGACTCGGCATCTAAATTCGCAACTTCCTTTGTTTATGCTCATCTATAACCAGGGTGACATTGATGGGGGGAAAGCCAGTGACTAAGAATAATACAGTACGTCCTATGTAATGAGCTCAGTCCTCTCATTCGGGAGATGTTTCAAGAGTGAGGGTAGACATTCCCTTATAGGGTCTGTGTGTGGAGGCAGAGTGTTGACCTAGGAGTGGGGATCATGGGCAACTGTTTACTATGCTTTTCTCTATGCAGTTGTGCAGAATTACCACGGAAACACTGCCTCTGGGGTAAATACATTTACCATCAGAAAAATTTTCTTAGATATGCTGGTCTGGAAGAAATCTTCATAAATCATCCAATTTGTCTGTTCTGCTTCCCTGCAGGCCAGACCTAAATAATATTAGAGAAATGCAACCCATGGTTTTAAGATTTTTCTATAAGAGAGTTTCACTGTGTGTTTAGGACTGAGCTCTTCACACCCCAGTTTAATGACTGGCCCAGTCTGGCCCTGTTCTTCATGGCCAATTTTCAGGAGGGACCCATCTGTATATCCATGTGGCAAAGAAGGGTGGGACTCCTTAGTTAGAGATTCTGACGACTCTGGCAGCTCTGTGTCTAATACATAACCCTCTCTACATCAATGCCTCCAAGTCCTTGAAGGAGGGGCAAATAGGGGCAGAGGGTAGGTGTGTGGAGAGCCTGGAGGGGATGATGAATGTTAAAGGCACACCCTGCCCCAAAGAGAGTTGTACAGAATAATAGGAGAGTTACGTCAAGTCTGATTGTTAAACAGGTTGTGCAGGGCACCCTGGAGGGCTGGTGAAGGGCACCAAGTTTGGCCTCCACAGAGTCCTAGCTGATGAGAAAGGAAAGACAATGGGTATGATTGGGGTAGTGAAAGATGAGGAGCATAAAAGATCAATTCGTCCTTAGGGAAATTGTGGTCATTGTTCGAATGAATCTCTTTGGGAGTTTGGTTTGAAGGTAAGAGGAGAAAATGGCTTAACAAAAGTTCTGTGGGTTTTCCTTAAATCCTCTTCCTTTTCAGCCATCCCAGTCCTTCTCCCTCTCCCTCTTCTCCTCTTCTTTTCTTATTCTCCTTTTCCTCCCTCCATTCCTAATGGCAAAACTTGATATGCCAACTAAGGAGAAACCTATGATGATTTCTCTTTCTAATGCAAGAGAAGTGAGCTGGGCAAGTGAGAGGGAAAGGGCAGGCAAAGAAGGACTGAGGAAAATGTGTGTAGAGGACATTTTCTCTTAGCTCTTTTCAGGAGTACGATGCTAAGTTTTTATACTTCTGGCTTAATCTCCTCATCCCTAGTTCCTGGGGGTCTTCACTGTCAAACTCTCCAGTGACCTGCTAGCTGCTGAGTCCTGCTGAGCTGCCAAGCGTGGCTTGAAGCCTGACGCCCCAGTCCTCTGCTCCACCCCAGATCGAGTCGCCAGCTCCAAGGGGGAAACACACAAAGCTGAGCTCACCTGTCATGGTGTCTTTCCTGGAAGTGTGTTCTCCTTTAGTCCCGTGGTAAGTGGCATTGCTGCCAGTGGACTCATAGTCTGTTTTTCTTTCTTTGAGGCTGATCATTTCCCGAGGTGAAGCTGGGGCACTTGCTACATAAAGAAATCAAAAGGATGACTTTGTGAGTCTCATTCCATAGCACAGACAGCGTTTCACACAAACAGTTAAGGTCAAAACACACCTGGCGCAACATATGTCAACATGCTGTGCGTGGGCGTGTCGATTTTCTTGTTCTGTGGCTCTTGTCGTTACCCATTCCCTTACCCTGTGTCGCCTGGTGCTTTATAGTTGAGGGGACACATGGCTTGAAGGCAAGTAATTAAGAACTATAGACTGGGGCCATCTTTCTTAGAGAGACATCCTGGCGGGGACATGACCTGCCCAAGGTGTATGGGACAGTTTTAAGAATGAGATGAATCTTAGTTTATTTCTCTTTCCTTTTTGTTCCCTCCCTCTTTTCCTTCCTCTCTTCTACCTTCCTCCCCCTTTTTAAAATTAGATGTGTTTCAGAGGAGCTATTACTAGTATTGAAGAATCTCTGATGAAAATAAACACAGTTTTACTTAACTACCAAGTCACCCAGCAACTCCCTAAAGGAAGGCAAAGGAAGCAGCTCTCCCCACAGGATGATCTGTGGGGCAAACATAACCCGACCCACAAAGAGCAGCCTGCTGGGGTGGGCTGGGGCAGGGTGTGAGGACAGCTCCCCCTTCCTGCTGCAGCTCTTTGGATAAATGCCCCCAACAATCCTGCACCCACACCTTACACCTTGGACTCTCGTTGCCTATTGGACCCCAGGGAGTGAGCCCCGTCTTCCTCTGTGTTTCCATTTCATTTTTTTTTAAAAAATATATCTTATTGATTTTTTACAGAGAGGAAGGGAGAGGGAGAGAGAGTTAGAAACATCGATCAGCTGCCTCCTGCACACCCCCCACTGGGGATGTGCCCGCAACCCGCAACCCAGGTACATGCCCTTGACTGGAATCGAACCTGGGACCTTTCAGTCCGCAGGTCGACGCTCTATCCACTGAGCCAAACCGGTTAGGGCTGTGTCTCCATTTCTATAACGATGGGTTGTAACTAGAAGAGTCCCCATGATTCTTTAACAAACTGGTCCCAGAACACAGAAAAGGCCGAACTTGGAGGTCAAGAAGCAAACAAAAAGAAGTTTAGTTTTCTTGAAAGATGGGATGACCTGGGTGGAACTAAACAGCCCTGTCCATGCAGAGACACAATGGAGGATGTAAAGTAATACCTGTGCGTGCTGGCAATGAGGCAGCTGGTGTGCAGCCCACCTGTGGTTGTCCTCATATTGGTCTCCATGCTCCATAAGACACTACTCATATCCGGAGCTTAGTCAATTGCATCTACTCAGTGTGAGCTCAGCAAAGTACTGTTCTGCCTCAAAGCCTCGCCCAGCCTCCTGTGCTCTGGGCAGTGCTTCAGAAACGTGCCTAACCTTGAGACTCACCTGAGGACCTAGGGATGCCAGGATCCAGCCCTGGACCTTCTGCATTGGAGTTTTCAGGAGATGGTTCGAGGAATCCATATTTAACAAGCAGACTTGGTGCTTATTAAGGCTTGGGGAAGCCTGGGAACTTTGATTTTTTTGGATGAAATCCTCTTTCCTTGGCTAGTGCCCAAGCTCCTCCCCAAGCAGGCCTCAGTTTACCCTGTAGCTTATCCTTCACACCCTTTGCAGGATCCCTCAGCTCCAGCCCACTGGGTAAGCTTGGTCCCTGAACGTACCCTTCTTTTCACTGTCTGAACCTTTGCGTCATTTCATCAAATTTAGTGTCCTCTAGGTGAAAACCCCTGTGCCAGACGCTGGGAGACAGAAAGATGAATGCGTCACACCTTCTGAACCAGAGGAGCTCAGTCAGGTGAGGAAATGGACGTGCAAATAAAGCAGAATGAGAGGCCGGGTGCTCTGTGGGCGTCACAGCCAAACGCTAGGAAGGTAAACAAAGGGGCCTTCCCATCGCTTCCTGTCTCCCACTTCCCAAACCTATCAAATAAAACTGAGGCTCACTGCTCAGTTCCTGGAACTGCCAGAGGCTGCCAGACCTGGCTGCCCATTAGAATGAGTTACTTGGAATACTTTAAAAAGTACAGTTGCTTGAGTCCCACACAAAACCAGTTGGACCAGAACCTCTGGGTGTAAATCCAATGGGAAGATACCTTCCCTCCAGGGAGAGACCCTTTCCTGCCCTTGCCCCTTTGCTTCTAGGCCTTTCTACATCAAAGGGAGCCTTTTGTTAGTCAGTGGCAGGCAATCACAAAGAGACAATATTTTGGAGCCTCTTGACCAAAGCTTCTAAAATTAGAATCTAATATTGCACAGATGGTGAGCCTTATTAAACTATGTCAAGTGTGTAATTATCTCCTGAGACCTCACGCACAGTGGTCTCCATAAACCTACCTGATATCTGCAAAGATCATATCATGCAAATGAGTGTTTATGAGGTGTCTCTGATGTGCCTCTTGTAGGAAACACCTTAACTAAGCTGAATGGCTGGGATGTTGACATCCTGATAGGGTGTTGCTGCTCCTTCCAGCACCTTCCAAGGCATTATGTCATTTCATGATCCTAAGGCTGAGCAATTAGAGCTTTTACAAAGACACTTCCCTCACTGCTCTTTATCTTTCTAAGAATAATGGAAAGAATGCAGAACAGGCCTTTTCCATGCTTCTGAGACAGGCGGGAATTTCTCCCGTCACACGGGGTGGGGTCCTGACTCATCTAGTGTGGGACTAAACGTTACAAGCAGTAAGACCACACTAAGAAATATAAGCGTTTATGGAGCCAGGAGAGGGTCATTTATTTCAGGCACACATTTCCCATTCATTTCTGATTTTCCTCGTCATCCTGACAGTTCCGTGTGGTGCAGGTTTATGACAGACGTTCTCAAGGTCAGAGGGGGTTCTGCGGTGTGTGCTCTCTGTCATGCCCACTGAGCTGCAGTCTCAGGAAATATTATTTCCTCAGCAGTGAGAGGGCAGCGAGGAGCAGGAGACACTTTCTTAAATAGAAGCCTATGCAGGTGTGTGTGTGTGTGTGCATGTGTGTGTGTGTGTGTGAGAATGTGTGCATGAGCATGTGTGAGCATGTATATGTACATATAATTCTTTATCCATCCTTCTCACCACAAAAAACAAAATGCAGAAATAAAAACAAAAGTTTTAAAAACTTATACTTTGAGTAAAACCACAATAAAATCTATGCCATGTATATACTAAACATTGTGCTCATATTTTGCCTTTAATTTCTTTCTCTCATCTTTGGCATTATATGACATCATTGAAAAAGGGTGTAAAAGTAAAGTAATGAGCAGGTGACAAAATTAGCAAAACATAAATGACTTAAAAGTTATGGTTGGTAGTGATAAGAATTTATCAATGATTCACTCATTGGTTGAAAGGTAATAAAAAGCTAATCAGATATGGAATAGTAATGAAATCCTCAATGATGTGGTTCAGATATATGTCATTCTGAATGAAGAAATAGCATGTCCTCTCTGCCCCTACTCTGTATCCCAATTACAATTAATAAAATGCAACTCAAACTATTTTAAGTTGGAAAAACATCCCTGGAAAACGCTGGCAGTTTTCTTTATCTTTGCTCCTCACTGAATGTAGGCCTGTGGACATGCATTTCATGACACACCGCCTGTCAGAGATTTTTAGAAATCTGTTAGAGATTAGTTCTGAGTCTGAGTAACCCAAAGTTGCCACTGCAATAAAAAGATAGCAATCATTTGATATTTCCAGCAAACGTCCGGAAGGGGATGGCTCTCCTCCCTGTGGGGGTCAGCTTGGGGCTGGGAAGGAGGGGACTCAGGCCGGGCTGGTTCTGGGCATCTCTTACCTGAGCGGTTGTTGGGAGACACACGCACAGGGGAGATGGAGGGCGTGCGGGAGGAGGAGTAGGGCCTTTGCCGATCCCTCTCGATGGTTGAAGATGAGGCTACAAAGTGATACTGTGACCATCCGTCCTGCGAAGACAGCATGCTCTTATTAAGTGGGGAAGGCAGAGTGGTTCTTCCCTTCCTGACATTCCCAAGTTCCAAGCGTCTGAATTAGCAAACCATTTCTGTGATCATCAAGGTGAAAACAGACGAATGTGAATTGAGACCCACCTCCTGTTCCCTCCAGACAGGCTGACAGGGCAGGGCCTGCTTTCAGGGCTTGCTTTCCCTCCCAAATGCAGGATAAACGGTCTCTTGGCAAACCTGCTCTGGCCAGCTTCCATTTAAATGGAAATATTCTGTTCAGAATGTGAAATGGCCCTGAAGCTGTCTGTTCTTTGCCTACCTGGTTCCAACTCTCTCTGGCCCTCTTTTCAACCACCTTCTAAAAGTGTTTACACTTGTTCACAGGGGACAGGTGCCAAGCAGCATCCCCCCTTCTGGCTTACCTCCCTTACATTGCTTTGCACTTCCTTCTCTGCCACAAATGCCCAATCCCCACCTGCTCAAGGCCTTCAGCATATATTCACACAGAGTGTTCTCGCCTTCCACTGAGTATTCAGGCCTAGACTTATATGTTCTCTGCTTTGCCACAGAAATTGTATTTTTCAATTTAGAGCATATGCAGAATGCATCCTACCACATTAATCCTCCATGAAGCTTTCAAATATCTAGTTAATACATGAAAAGCATATATACAATTTTTCATTATAAAAACCATATAAATATGTTATGGAGGGTGTTATGAATTTAGAAAGCATAAAGAAGAAACAAATAAAAATAGCTAACAATTCCTGCGACCTTCCCTGAGATGTCCTGAAAGAATGTTATGGTAGTTCCTCCGGCCTCTCTATTTTTTTAAGTCAGGTTTACTTCTAGCAGAGTAATCTGTCACATAGCGCTGGCGGTATAACAAAGAAAAGCAGACACCCACCCAACCCCCAATTCCTGCTTCACAGAGGCAACCATTATTTTCAGTCTTTTAGTTTTTTCTTTTCTCTGAAGATATTTAGACGTTTAAGGAAGTCAATGGGATATATAAGTAGTAGCTCAGGAAATTGCTTTAGTCAAAAGTTTGGCTTCTTTGGTCATGGATAAGTAATAATATTGCATATGTCATTAAAAGTGAGCCAGCAATGTACTTTATGAAACAAAAATCAGCTAATATTTGATATGTTCTAAGACCAAAGGGACAACTGGATATAAGTATGGCACAACCCCAGGCTCGGTTTTATTGGCAATATCAATGGATTACTCAGCACTGCTGTCCTATGTGGGTTTTTGGAGATAGGTTTTGCTCAGCAGTTCAGATTTCATATGCTTAGATTACTATGGGACCATGTAAGTACTTACATCTCTGGAAATGACAAGTCTGGATGTAATAATAAAACAATATGAAGAAAGGAACTGTTATGAGGATACAACCCCAAAGCTTCCCAATACTTCAAAAGACCCAATTCTGAGAACGCTGACGCATGACAGAAATGTCATCTAGCTGGTTACTTGTCCATGGGTGATGGGATTGGCAGAGCCCAGAGGATGATGAGTGTGTCAGAGGCACCAAGACTGCCATCCTGAGTTAGATCCCTCTGCACATGGCCAGCAATGATACGCGTGTGGCACAGAAGCTCTGAATAGGGTTGGGAGAGGAAGAGCTTAGAGAACAGGGCAGAGTGGTTAACCCAGTGGTCGGCAAACTCGTTAGTCCACTGAGCCAAATATCAACAGTACAATGATTGAAATTTCTTTTGAGAGCCAAATTTTTTAAACTTAAACTATATAGGTAGGTACATTGTTATTAACCTAATTAGGGTACTCCTAAGGCTTAGAAGAGCCACACTCAAGGGGCCAAACAGCTGCATGTGGCTCACGAGCCGCAGTTTGCGGACCACGGGGTTAACCCAACCAAGGCTCTTGATTAGTTTCAAGTCACAGCTTGGGAGCTCCTAGAGGTGCAAGAAGAGGAGCTCTGGTTACTTCTCCATGTTCCTCTCATTCACAGATGCAGTGAAAGGTGCGATGCAATGACTGAAACAAAGAACTCTAACATCACTACAGCCAACAATGCCTAGAAGGGACCTCACAGTTTTAATTGTGATGGTGGTATATACTTCCAAATGTCATGGAAAACAGTGTAACGCCGGATGCTGAAGACCTGGGTACAGATCAATCAACACACGTTTTAGTTATACTGAATATTCAGTTACCTTGAGGATACGTGTCCTGCCCTTCCACATTTTTTTTTTTACTGCAAGAAATGTTTCATCATTCAGTTGAAAAAAAAATGTCTTGCTTTCTAAAGAAGGAAGAGTTATTGCTAAACTAACACTCCTTTTAACCAAATAGCCATGTAATATTTGTTACCTAGACAGCTTGCAATCGATTTGTTACTCATTTACTTCCCACTGCCATTCAAAAAGCTTAAAAGTGGTCTACGTAAACACATACAATTGGGCATGTAGCTTTAAAATCCTTATTTATCTCTTTGATTGCTACCTTTTCTTCTTAAAGTTTTAACTCACTGTAGACCTCAGAGGCTTTTTCCTGAATTCTATTTTATTGGGTGCTTAACCATAGTTCCCTTTTGCATCAACCCTTTGGCTTCTAGGGGTTAAATAAAATAGCCCAGGGAAGAAAAATAGATGAAGAATAGTCACAGTGACTAGGGAAGGGCCTTAATCCTTACTATTGATGATAAGAAACTCTTTTAATGTCTATTGGTCACCTCCAGCAGAACGACCCAGAAGTTGTGCCCTTCAGCTCAAGACCCAGCCAAACTGTCAGACTGTGATATGATATCGGTGCCTCAAATTGGTTTTTATTTTTAATGCATTAAACTTAAAACTGGAGGTTGTTAAATTCCAAGTATATAGAGATAGAAATCCAAAAGAGAAGAGTTCAAAGTCACTGAACTTTAAATTGCCACGAGGAATAATCTGATTTTCTTTATCTTTCCCTTTTCTTGTCCTTCCACCAGTTTCAGCTTCTCTGCTAAAATTCCTGATGTGTTTCTTTATGGCACTGTATTAGTCCCCAAAGCTACTATCATCCATATTGTGCTTTCAATGGTCCAGAATGCAAGAGCATAAAGGTGATGTTCTTCACAGCCTCACAACCATCGGTCTTCATGGTATGTCCACATGGTGGCCACTCTATTTAATTTCTATAGTCTTCCCCTTAAGCATTTCAGATCCCTGAATTTATAACAATCTCCATTTTTATATATTTTTTTATCATCCTGTAATAAGGTCTAAGTAAGTGGCTTTCAGACTGGTCTATGTGAGGTTAGGATAACCTGCCGTGGCCCCATAGCTGCTTATTATGGAAACTGTGTAGGATCTTCAATGAAGATCAGCACACACATTAGCTAGGTTGTGTGCAAAGATGAACTAGCGCTGTTTGTCAAGTCAAGGCTCAAAACTGTTCACCTTGGGTCTCTCTGTCGATAGAGGTAAAACTAGAAAGCTGTCAGGAGTTAGCGCTTCTCTCCAGTTTACACTAGTATCATAATTACTGGTAAGCTCTGTGTCAGTTGCTTTTCCATAAATAAAGGTCAAAATGACTCAAATCAGCTTGGGGAGTTTTAAAAATAGTAATGCCTGGGCCACCGGCCCTGAGATCCTATTTACATTGTTCTGAGCTGGGCCTGGTCACCAGGATTTCTCAAAGCCCCCAGGTGATGTTAATGAACACATGGTGAGAACCACTGGCTTGGAGTTTCTATGCAGAGGTGGCAGTGACTAATAGGGATACCAAACGCATTCTTGAAGTGCTAAATCCTAGGAGGTCACGGACTTCATTTGGGGACGTCAGATAACGCATTCTCCAGGTTGACCTACACAGGAATAAAAAGAGGTCCCAACCTCAGGGCAGAGAGGTGCCACACACACACTGAGCCCCAATCACACCTGATGACCTGGTGTCCACTGGCTGTGTGATTCCATTTCACACGTCTACATCTCAGATCGGTCAGCCCCACGGCCTGACACAGCACCTTCCCTTTTCATACCTGTCCAGTCTAACTTCAGCTGCCCAGTTCTGTGCTAGGGGAACAGGAGGCAGGCAATACATGTTTAGTGAACCACTGTCGCTAAATGAAGTATGCCCCTGAGCTTCGAAGGAGCTATGTGAGCAAGGCTACTTAGCATCATTTCTTCTCCTGCTGTGAGCAAAGTGCTGTGGCATCACAGTACAGAAAGCCTTGCTGAATTCTGGAGCCCTGGTCCCTAGCAGAGGTGCCTAATGTATGCCAGTAGCATCCAGTGATTTCAGATGACTGCATTAATTACTGTAAAATAAAATGCTGACCCGTGTCATGGGCTTTACTGCTAGTCTCTAAGTTCTTATACTTTATTGTTCTATAACAAATGAAGGTCATCAGAGCTTTGTGATTTTTTTTTTTTTTAAAAAAGTTAGCCTAGAGCTAACTTCATCAGTATTATCTTCTGCTGTTGGGATGTGTCTTTTAGGATATACTTGCAGCTACGCTGAAGGCAGTGTAAGTTTAGGTAAAATGGTACAAAAGACAAAAAAAGGCCAATGGCTGCCTGCTCCATTTAAAATAATTTCTCAGCTGCCCGTGTTTCCATGGGAGGTATATAAAGCTGCCTCCCCTTTAACCTATCTTGAAAATAATTCTGAAGCATCATTATGCCTGGGCACAGCTGGTCCTGGCTTGCTGCTGAGTCCTTCCATTGCTCGCAGAGCACAGCTTTGCCCGCCACCCCAGCCCCACCTCTACTGCTCCCTGCATCTGGCAGTTCAGATGTTCATGCACCTGTCCATGGAGGATACACTAAGTCCTCCCCAAACACAAACCTTAGGAGAGCCAGGAGAAAGAAGAAGGGTGAGTGCATTGATTTCTCATTAGCTATGCTCCAATGTTTTTCAGGGCTGGGCACTGGAGCACATACCTACTTCTGGAATGTGCCCACAGGACGGAAGGGGCTGGTTTCTGAAAGGGTCACTTGAGGGAAGGTTACTGGGCAGGGAACAGTGGTGTTGGGGGCAGGACAGTGCGTGCCAGC